CAATATCTATCTCAAATTCTATCCGGCTGGAGAATTGCCTATTTGTTCCCACATTGTCTCACAAATTGCTGTCAATAAGCCATGTCACAAAACAATTAAATTGCATGGTCCTAATGCACCCCACTTTTTGCTTATTACAGGATATTCAGACGGGGAAGATCATTGGGCATGGTTCTGAGCGTAATGGCCTGTACTATGTCGAGGAATTTGATCATTACGGAACAGCTACGCTTGCTCATGGGACAGTGGACAGGCAGGCATGGTTGTGGCATCGTCGTTTGGGACATCCATCTTGGGGGTATCTCAAAATTCTCTTTCCAAAATTATTCAATAAATCATGTCCGTTTCATTGCAACAGTTGTATTCTAGCCAAAAGTCATAAACATTCCTATCTGTTAAATAACACAGTTGCATCACAACCTTTTTCATTAATTCATTCTGATGTGTGGGGTCCATCTCCAGAACCGAGTCCAAATGGGTATCAATATTTTTTATTGTTTGTTGATGACTGTACCCGTATGACTTGTGTGTACTTTCTTAAACACAAATCTGAAGTTTTTGAAAAGTTCACCTCATTTTACAAATTGATCAACACACAATACCAAAAACAGATCTGTATTCTTCAATCTGATAATGGAGGAGAATACATAAATCATCCCATGGAAAATTTCTGTAAGGAAAAAGGTCTTATCCATCAAACCACTTGTTCTGATACCCCTCAACAAAATGGCGTTACTGAACGTAAGAATCGGATCATACTCGAAATCACTAGGGCTCTTATGATTGAGTCAAATGCTCCGATTTATTACTGGCCCGAAGCAATTGCAACCACCATTTACCTCATAAATCGCCTTCCAACAAAAATCCTAAATCATAAAACACCCATTGATACACTCGCAAAATTTTCCACTGTTCCTACCTTCTTGACCCTCACTCCTCGTGTGTTTGGTTGCACTGTATATGTACATATTCCAAAAGCCAAACGAACAAAATTTGATCCTTGTGCTGTC